TCCAACAGTGTGGCTCAACCCAACCCACCATGTTATCACATCTTCCATAGGCTTTGTACAGGAGTGTAGCAAAAGTAGTCTAGCCATCACACTAGCCTACCTGTGCTAGTGTACCTTCTGTATTCCCACCAGTTCCATAAGTTTGGGTCTGTGAGTGTGTCAATGCAGCCTAACCCAGCCTGCCATTTAACCACTCCTTTCACTGGCTTTTCTCAGCAGCAAAGCAAATCAATCTAGCCCATACCACCAGCATGCCTGTACCAGCAGACATCCAAATAGCTGGAATCTGCAGGAAAAGGTAAAGCTAAATTTTTCCCCTTCCAGGTTCCCCCCTGTGTGTGTCATGGCAGTTTAGCCTAGGTTTCCACTTTATTGGTTGTGCTGAGAGTTGCCCCAAAAACAATGCAGAAGAGAGGTCTAATATCTCATGCCACCATCATGCGAGTGGACAATACAAATGACTTTAAGCCTGCAGCAGCAGGTCAGTATTAAGGGAGAAAAGTGGCCCAGATATGACATAGTTGTAAAGCCACTGTAGCATGCCTATCTGAGCAAGGGAAGGTTTCCAAACACCAGTGCTACTGCACAACAATTCTAGTCTCTCAGTCTTAACCTCCCCTTTGTCAGAGGATGTTCCTCTCTTAGTTCAAGGTGTGCACGGATTGTGTTAGCAGCAAACTGCTGTAGATGTAGAGGAGTTTAACATCTCATTAGAATGTTAGTCAAGACAAAGACCCCAAGGATTATTAACATCTTGTCCTTGAAGAGCCTTCCACCCATGAGGAAGGAGAAGTAGGAGTTTCTCCCAAATATTTCATGCCTTCTGCAACTAGTCGAAAATCCTATGGGAAACATGAAGGCCAATAGGCTTGAATCCAAGCTAATTCCTTATAGAAAGATAATTCTATTTTTAAGAGAACCTTTAACCAAAAGGGGAAGGAATTTATTGCAGATTATTTTAACTGCTGCATTATTTTCAATATTGCTTTTCAGAAGACCAAAGATAAATCAATCAATAAATAACAGCATTTGGAATGAACTAGTTCAGATTGTAACCATTTTCCTTTTTTCTCAGAAGTGATCCTGATAGACCAGGGGAAGGAAGAGAAAATATAATAGGAGTACTTGTGGCACCTTAGTCTCTAAGGTGCCACAAGTACTCCTGTTCTTTTTGCGGATACAGACTAACACGGTTGCTACTCTGAAAAGAGAAAATATATACTTCAGAGGTGCCAGCCCTCCCTAATTTTCCACAATCCCTGGTGTTGCTCAATAACTGCCCTATGTGGACCCTGCTGGACTACGTTAACATGCTCTAGGTACCTCGAGTATGCCCCCAAGGTCCACAGGGGGCAGTTAGAGCACAACATGCATCCTGTGGCTAGTAAAACCAGCAGCCCAAGCCACACTGACAATTGCCATGGCTTGCTTCCTGTCAGACCCTCACTGTGCAGTCTGCAGGAGAGGAGAAGCCAGAGGGGCAGGAGGAGACAGTGGCAGAGGAGAAGAGTGGGAACATGAGAGATGAGGGAGAAGAGGATTAGGATCATCGCAGGAAAGTGGCCAAGGCCCAGGACTGGCTAAAATAATTAAGGTCCCTTGGTGGCATAGGAGAGAGGCTTTCCCAGGGCCGATCCTCCCCTTCTCCCTTTTTGGGGGTGGGGGTCGGTGGCACAATAGGGGAGGGGACCCAGACCTCCCCCCCCTTGGCAACATACAGGGAGGGGAGGGGAGAGGAGCGAGGAGAAATCCTGGTTTCTCCAGGGGCAAGGGAAGTGAGAGAGGAGGGGACTGGGGCAGAGAGGTCCTGGTTTCTGCAGGGAGAAAGAAGGGGAGGAGGTGGGGGGAGAGAGAGGTCCAAGCCACCTCCTTAATTCCTCTCTAATTTTTTTCTTAAACAGCCCTAAAAGTTTCAGAGTAAGGTTGGCATCTCTGACATCTAAAGTGTCTGAATAATTTACTGCTGAAAATGTATTTAAAGAAAGGGTCTCTCCACATAACCTAGTATAGTGGTTCTCAAACTTATTGGATCGTGTCCCCCTTCTTTGTGTCTGTAGTTGTTTACATCCCCACCCCGCTCCTGCCACACAAGTACATATACAGCCACCCAGATCTGAAGGCAGAGTGGGGAGTGGTGGTGGCTGTCTGGGCACCCGACTCTGAAGGCAGTGCCACCAGCAGCAGCAGCACAGAAGTAAGGGTAGCAATACCATAACATGCCACCCTTACTTCTCTGCTGCTGCTGGCGGCAGTGCTGCCTTCAGAGTTGAGCGCCCAGCCAGCAGCTGCTGTCCTCTGGTCTCCCAGCTCTGAAGGCACTTGGAGAGAGAGAAAGAGAGAAAGAGAGAGCAAGAGACGGTCTGAGACCTGACTTGAAAACCTGACCTTTTCAATCCAAAACCAGACTTTTTTATACAATTTCATTTCACAAAAATGTTTGAAAGGTTTTGTTTCAATTCCATTCCAGAACAAAAACAAAATATGTAACCTTGAAATCATTGCAAAATGGAATTATTGTCCTCTGGTCAACTGTACTTTTGAAAACTTTAACTATGGCCCTTGGTACACAGTCTGGCCTTAACAACATAGGCCCTGATCCTACAAACAAGCATGTGCTTTACTTTAAGCATGTGAATAATCCTATTGACTTCAATAGTTTTGTATTTAAAGTACATAGTTTGTACAATAGTTATGGATTTCAAGTACTTAAAATACATATATACTTAAATATAGGACATGTTTAAGTGTTTTCAGAATAAAGGCCTTAATAATAATTCTAGATTTAGCTGTATTTTGAATATGTTCTTTCAGTGTTGCGTAAAAAAACTAAAAACAGTAAAATATTAAATACTATATTCATAGCTGTAAAAATACAGTTACTAATCATCCCCCACCTTTTAAAGGATATATTTGGCCTAATGAATATGTTGATTTCAGAGAAGAGAAATTAAATGGCAAGAATTTGTTTTTAAATTATTCCATCATTCATCAGTTGTCTCTAAAGCAAAGTAATAAGCAATGAAAGATAACCTATAGGGAAAGTAATAAAGCAAAAAAGAGGAAAAGTTAGTATCCCTTGAACAACTATTTATTGAATTGACACCATAAAAATAAGGAATCAAATAGGTTGAGATGAAAACAATTTTTGGAATTAGAAATACTCTCTCTTTTTTTCTATTGAATGGAAACAATTTTTGTTCTTTGATTTGTCTGGAGGCTAAGCCTAAGTACAGCCATCGGTGACAAATCAGTGGATATGTCATCTTTAGAAGAAAAGAATTAACATCTAATAATGTTTCTTTTGTCAAATTTTTAATATGCCAAAATTCCTTTCAATTCTTCCTTCTTCAGGAAGCTGAAATTAACTATTTTAATTGACGGGTCCAGAGATAAAGGTGACTCTTATAGCTGCAAGTTGCTCTCATGACATATTGAGTAACATTTTAAAAGTGGCTGGAGTTCCTATTATTGGACACACAGTGAGAATCTCTGGGTAAAAAAGAATAGACATAGTGCTTTGTATGTATAATGTTAGAACATAGGAAAAATGAAATACAGTTTTATAATTCTTGAAAGACACCAAGAAATAGATTTTGCTTCGTAATAACTTCCAAGAAGACATTTAAAGCCTGAACCTGCAAGGGGCTGTGTGTCCTCAATTCCTATTGATTTCAGTGGGAGGTGAAGTATTTAGCACTTCATAGAATCAAACTGTCCATAATGTATGGTGCCATTTATACAGAATGGCTATAATATTCTTCTTGGAAAAATACAATTATTTATAATTCGGAACTAACTAATCATTCAGGCACAAATACTGGAAAAAGACTGAAATATGGAAATAGGTAATCTCTAGTCAATAAATACAGACCTTAATATAAGAGTATTTAAAAAAATATTAGACATATCTAGCCATTTCTACAGCCATGTCTGGTGACTTTGATCATAGCAAACGCGGAATTTGTTTTTTTAACTGAATTGCTTCAGACCATTTTCTTTGAAAACACAGCACATAATTCCCTAAGGAAATAAAGCAAGAATATTGTTTGTCTATGAAGGCTGAAAATTATGTTCATACTCGGTATGAACCAGGACAGCTGCTTAAGTCTCATAATTCCATGCACTGAAAGTTAAAACATTAATTTTTGAAAAGTCTATATTGGATAAAGTAATATAGTACTAAATGCTTCCACAATTTAAAGGGACATAGTTTGAAATTTAATCAATTAAAAATGAATTGAAAGTACTTTCGGGTACTGCATTGATTTTTGTAGTTTTACAATCATATTTTCCTACTTTAAAAAAAGTTTTTTCCCCTCCATGTTGTTTTTTGAATAACGGAGGTAATCAACAGGGAAACTGACTGTAAAGGACAAATAATGAAGCTGACTATACACAAATTACTGTCAAATGCACAAAGTTAGCATGCTGAATAAATAGAGAAAATATTTTTTACTGATTTTTTGGTTATATAATCTTAAGAGTTATTTGTCAAAACAAGAAGTACATATAACAGGCAGAGTGTGATTTTTAAATTGACAGTATCTCTTTAAAGAAGGTTATTGGCAACAACTAATCTCACACTAGTATAAATTAGAAGTAACTGAACTGAAGTCAACAAAGTTATACTGGTGAAAAACTGGTGTATATGAAATCACAGTGTATCTCAATATATTCAGTAGAGAATTCCAAGTAACAGAACCTTATTACTGGAAGAAGAGATCTAACTGGAATTACAGAATAGTCATTAATCTTTAAGAATTGCCCTACATGAAGTTCAAGATTGCTATAAAATGAACATATGCAAAATGATTTTTATAAATAAATATGTCATCAATATGTCGCTTTCCACATACAAAGCATTTCTAGATAATTTGTGCCTGATAAATTAGCCACTTACATTGCAGGAATCTTTACATTCATATTATAATTTCACCTATCTTCAAACATTTTTGTTTGCCATTACGAACAATAACTTCACAATTGTGTTTTATTTGCAGCATCTGGCGAGGCCCAAATATAAACTGCACAGACAGTTCGGGTTACACTGCTTTACACCACGCAGCTTTAAATGGACACAAGTAAGTGCCATGTGCCCAATATTTATGACCGTATTTCTCTGGGTAAACTTAAAGCTTGTAGCATAACACTGACTTCTTCTTTGAGTATTGTCCCTATGGGTTCCATTTCAGTTGTTCCTGTACCCCATGTGACTTTGATCAGAAAATTTTGGTAGCAGTGCCCAGTGTTCCCTCTAATTTTTCCCACCCATGTGCGGAATGAATTTTGTTATGTGCACCAATATCAAGTATATATAGGGCAGTGTCAGACGAACTGCCCTCAGTTCCTTCTCAGTAGCTTCAGCCTCACATGGAGCAACTTGCAATATGCACTTCTTTACAAGTCTGATTTTAGAACTAGTTTTTCCTATAATTTAGTAATTATATATTGACCTCCTTAGTTTTATTTTTTGTTAGTGTTTGAGGGGATTTTTTCCAAGATAACTTTCATCTCCGCCCCATGCCTGCCCTTGTTTGAGGTCGCCCCCTCCAACTCCCTGAGGGGTTTCTCCTTCTTCTTTTGAAGGAAATTATTTTCCTTGCTTGGGTTATGCCTGGATCCCAAGGTTTTAAGCATTGCCTAAGTTACCAGCAGTGGGTATTACAGCACCAGCTAAGGACCTTCTCAGATCCAATGCAGTTAATGGAGAGCTTTCTAGAGGCCAAAGGGTTGCTAGTGGCAGAATTTCCCAGGGCCTTGACATCACACAGGTCGGACCTGAGAGAGACCTGGGAGGGCAACATCTAGTCAGTAACATGGACTCTAAGGGGTCCACCCCCAGGGAAGTCCTCCAAGATGGTCAGACTGACCACTAGGCCGTGGGAAATCCAGGGGGCAACTTGGTTGGGCTTGGACATGAGACCACCAGTGAAACAGCCAGTTATCTCAAGCAATTGGCCGCTACTCCATGGCCGAGTTTACCCCAAGCTAGGAAAGATACTGTCAGTGCCAGCCCCATAGCTTAATAATCCTGTGGGCAGACAGGGTACATCAAGAGAGATGCTATCTTATGGAATGTGAATACATCCAGGACTGGACTGCAGAAACCCACCTATTGAAAAGGGTTCTCCCCAAGTTGATGGTGCCAGTGATGGTCCAGAGGAAGGGAGTTCAAGGACTCTTGGATTCTACCTGTAGTCAGACAGTGATCAGTGGTCCAAGCCTCCTTAGTAGGAGATGATGGCACTCCTAAAAGTTGTGAATACTTACCCCGACCAATGTTTACAACTGACCGCGGGGGGACATACCAAGGTTATAATCGTAGCTCTGGCTGAGAAATTGGCCTACCCTATAATCATAGGCTCGGACTGGCCATTTTTTGGCAAGTTATTAACGAACATGCCCACCGAGTGAACATGGGTCCAGATTGATCATTGCAGAATTAACCCCAAAGCCTGGTAAACCTTGGGAAGTTGGAAGACCCTAAGGAGGGCACATCACAAGCAACATGGTCATAAACCCTGTAGGGAAGGAAGGAAGGAAGAGGTAATCAACTCCCAGGGTGGGAGTTTTGTGGAGGAACAGAGGAATGACCCTATACTTAGAGAAAAGGAGGCATTAGCAATTAAGTGGGCCATGGATTCCCTCAGGTATTTCCTGCTGGGCAGTCCCTTCTCCTTGATCATTGATCGTGTTCCTCTATGCTGGCTCCATACCATGAAAGATCTGAACCCGCATATAATATGGTGGTGTCTCATGTTACAGTCCAACGGCATCAGGGTGCAACATCAGGTGGGAAAGGACCACACTAGAGTCAATTTTTTTTCTGTGGGAAATCGGAGATGGAGGTGACCTGCCTGGAGACTGTCCTTACAACTTGAGGAGTGGGATATGTGAGCTGGCATGCCTTCACCCTATTGAGGAGGAAGCTAACAAGCTCTTCAAAGAAGGTAGCTAATGAGCTTTTCTGGGTCCAGGCAGCACTAACCAGGCACACCTTCAGGGCTTGCTTGGCCTTAAAAATAGGGAAACCTGCCACAGAAAGGGGTGACAACTCGGGGAAGACTCAGAGACTGCTGGTTCTTCTTTGAGTGATTGCTCATGTCCATTCCATTGTAGGTGTGTGTGCTCTCCACATGCATTGGTGCCCGAAGTTTTTTCCCTCAGTGGTAACTGTAGCTACTAAAAGGAAGAGGGGTGTCTAAGGATCGACTCTAACCCTGATCAGCACAATAAAAAGCCTGCCAACAAGCTGGGCTCCAAAAGGTGAATGAGAAACTGCCCAAGAGACTGAACACTTTTCTCCCCCTTTTTCCTTTCTTTACTTTGATCCCCCGCATCCTTGGGGAGGCAGGAAAGACCTTTATTTTGTCTGGCTATACTCTTGTATACCCCAAGCAAGGGAAGGACTCTGTGAGTGCCAGAGAAGGGAAGCAACCCAAACCGTGGTCTGGTGGGAACTCAAGGGGTCTCCACCCATCACATGGACAAGTGTAAGACTTCCTAAAGACAGGCGTTCTGCTCTGCTGACAGGACTCATTCAGTAACAGCCTCTAGACTTGTTACAAGTATGGGGAGCTGTAGTGAGTACCCACAAGTGGTATCTGGCCGGGAGAAAAATGTCAGGCAGCACTGGAGGGGACAGACACAAGGGGTTTTTGCCTCTGAGCAACGTAAGTTATATCAATATAAGTGGTAGTGTAGACATGGCCAGACTCTGTTAGAGATCATTTAGAGGTAATTACAGCTTTCCATTCCATGGTCAAAGGACTCTCAATCTTTGCTCACCCCACCACTTCTTGATTTATTAAAGGATGATCAAACCTTTTACTGCATCTTAGACAACTGACCCTGGCATGGGATTTAAGCTTGTTCCTCAGTGCCCTGATGAGACTTCCTTTTGAACTATTGGATCCCTTCTACACCTCTCTAAGAAAATTGCATTCATAGTGGCTATTATATCTGGTAGGAGAATTGGAGAATTAGGAGCTTTAATGACTGACCCTCTACACCACCTATTATAAAGAAAACACCCTTGCTTTTTACCTAAGGTCAGTACATATTTCCACATTAACCAGGTCACTCAGCTGTTGGATTTCTACCTCAAACCTCACCAAACTAAAGATGAAGCTTCTCTTCATATCCTAAATATCAAAAGAGCATTAGCCCTTTATTTGGAAAGGACTAAACTCTTTAGGGCCTTCCCCAGATTGTTTGTTTCTTTCACACATAGAGTTAGTGGAGCTCCTGTCTTGACCCAGAGACTTTCTAAGTGGTTCTCTCAATATATCCTCTCTTGTTACAAGGCTATTAATATCCAACCTCCTCCTTGGGTCATAGCCCACACCACTAGATCACAGTCTACCTCTACAGCCCTATCAAAGAATGTTTCAATTGCAGAAATATGCAAAGTTGCCACATGGGCTTTGAGTCACACCTTTTCTAAATATTATGTTCTAGTTCACACCAGGGTATTTGTTGCCTGTGGTTCCGCAGTTTCCAGTCAGCCTTAGATCTGTCTCCGAAGCACCTGTCTCCTTAGAGGGTACTGTTTGGGAGTCATCTGTAGGGACAGTACTTTAAGAAGAAGTTACTTATCTGGTACAGAACTGGAATTCTTTGAGATGTTTGTCCCTATGGATGCTCTACCACCTACCCTCCTTTCCCTCTGCTTCAGAGTTTTTGCCTTATGGACTTTGCAGTAAATAAAGAACTGAGGACAGTTTGTCCGACACTGCCTTATATATCTTCGGTATGGGCCACAAAGATAGCAAGGGCACATGTGCAGACTGAATGGATACTGCTACCAAAAGTCTCAAATTAGAGGCACATGTGCACCTAAATGGAACACTCATTCTCAGAGAACTCCAGTTAATGTACCTCTCCGTCTTAACGTGGGTGAAAACAGTCTAATAAATTGACTTAACAAAAATATTTGAATTAAACTCCTTTCCCAAGTGGCATATATACAGAAGAATTTCTGGGAGTATATGATTGGCGCTGAAGAGACAATATCATGATCAAACAATTAGAACAGGAAAATGAGAGTCAGAATCAGAGTTTTGGATTCTGTTTTGATTGTTCCACTGTCTCTTGTTTGTCTTTGAGCAAATCTCTTAGCCCCTCTGCGTTGATTACCCCATTTGAAATTCGGGCTATTAATACTGTCATGTCTTTTCATAGTTTGAAGAAGAGTTGGACATCAAGACTGGAGATAAGGGCCTGATCCAAAGCCTATTGAAGTTAATGGAAAGACTTGCATTGACTTCAGTGGGCTTTGGATCAGACCTAAATAAAATAACATAGACCCTGAATTATTGTATTCCTAAGTCTATTTTGTTCACAAATAGTTACACTCTTGGCTGAAGAAAGGTGAAGTAAGATAGGAAAGACAGGGTATTTATTATGTGTGATTAACTGTATTACACAAACCTGCCATTTCTCTAATATTACTATAGATCATATTCATCTTACAGTCCATAAGTGCTAATTTTATTTCTAAATTAACAGACACAAGAGAAAATAATGCTAAGGTCAGTATTGTGAATCCTCCAAGTTTCACTCCTGGAGCTAGGTTCAGAATAGTCAATTACTGTCATTTATCTCCCTGGAATTAGCCCAAAGTAATTAATGTAGTCCACTAAACTTTGAAAAAACAGAAACATCATGGGCCTTTCCTTATGATTTATTCCTTGTGCAACTGTGTATTCCCAGTTGTCAGAAGACCAAGGCTTAGCTTGCAAAAACTGCCCAGTTTTTTTAGTGTAGCTGTGAATATTTCAGAAAATATGGGAGTATTGAACACACAGCATCGCTTTGCTACTTTAAAAAGTGAAAATCTGAGCAGAAGCATAAATGTTGCAATGATATGCAGAACCAGCCATAGACTTCAGGCTAATCATAATAACATATTAGCATTCTCCAACATAAGGAGGGTATGATGCCTCTTTAGGTCTATTTACATTATCTATTTAGTTAGTGTTTTCATATATTACACTATTTTTTCTTTCAGAGGTTAGGATATTATTTTCAAACACAATCATTGTTAACCTAACTCTACTTCCATTGAAGTCAAAGGCAGGTTTAGACAGGATTTTTTAAAAATAGGATTACAGCAAAAATGGCTAGAATTTGAAACTTGAAAGTTGGTATAGACATAAGGCACAATCCTATGGGGTATAAGTACCTCCTGACAGTTGCAGAGCATCTTCAACTCCGACTGACTTCAAAATCAATTCTGAGCATGCTCATTATAATTTGGTAAGAGTTAGGAATACCTAATGAAGCCTCAGTCTCCCCGTGACCACTCTGAGAGATCACAATGCACATTTATGCTGCCCATTTTGACAGGCAAGAGGACATCTGCTTCCTTGAGCAAAGGGATGAGCAAAGCAGGAGCGTCTGCTGGGAAAATTTATGTGAGGGAAATTGTAAATATCACACTGGTACACACAGGTTTCAAAATTGTCCAAAAACACTGCCTGTCTTATCATCAGGGACAGAAAACAAAACAAGAGTGCATTTTTTCTGAAGATCCTGTGATTGGGTATCTGCATATTTGTTACATTCAATAGTATTTTCCAAATATCCAGCTTTTACTATTTTTTCAAAAAAGGAAATATCTCTCTGTGTTGAAACAAAAGAGTTGTCACAATGTAAACCTGTTAAAAACAGTCTCCAGCCAAACAAAAAACAACCATCTGCAAGTGTGGAAATTAACTCTTCCCCCCTTCCCATTCACCTCAATAAATTTTTTTGTGAATTTCACATGTAAATGAAAACAATTTACAGTAAAATTAAACAAAGACAATGTCTTTTTTTCCTTTTAATTTTAAATAGCAAAAGAAATGAAATGACAAAAGGTACATTAAAATGTTAGGGTTGCAAATTAAAATCACAAATAATCAGAAAATTAAAAAAATAGCATTTTCTACAGCAACATTAATTGACTGTATTGCAGATATATTGCATTGTCTGTTCCTGTCTTTTTCTGGTTAAGCTTGTAGGTTATAATAAATATATTAGTATTTACTATAAAATATACAGGATGCACAATGGAGCCGAATCAACATTGTTACTGGAGTCTTAATTTTGACATTTTCTGATTGTTTGTGATTTTAAATATGTACTTTTAACATTGCTTTAATGTGGTTATTCACATTTATATAGAACATTTCTCTTAAACTCCTTTAAAGCTATTTTTTTAGCTTTAGTCCATGACCTCTGATTCTTGTGTCCTATCAAAACAGCTTTTATCCTATCAGTTTCATGGCATCCACAGTACATACTCTTCAAATGAGCTGTTAGAAAGACATCCATTCTTTACATTTTTGATAGATGTCTGTAGTAAGTTAAGGTTACCTTGGCACTCTTTGAAAGAGTAGAAGATAACAAACAACCTTGAACATCAAAGTCTATTTTAGTAAAAGAAGAAACGTTGGCCAGAACATAGAGGATATTTACCACCAAATGCGTAATATGCTATGTTAGACCTCACAATAACTGCCCTATTAGTGGCAAACTCAGTACTTTGTAAAGTGCTGTGGGAGACCTAGAGCATGAAAAATGCCTTCAAATCAAATTCAGAACTATTCTAATTACACTTTTTTACCAGTTCATTCTATCATTTCTATCATTGTTCTATTCTGTACCTTTTATATCTCACCAATCATCTTTTTTTACTGCCAGTGTTCATCATTGTGTACTGCAGCCTACTAGTAGTCTAATAAGTTATTCAGGGGATGATATAATACATTCCTTTAAGATGTCATTTATGGCCATCCAATATTTCTATTGTACGTCCTTATTTTCTATTTGAAATCATTCTTGGTTATGTTTGTTATCACTCCCAGGTCTTTTTATTGCTTAGTGTTCAGTGAAAAGTATACTCTTTAGGCAACTTTTACCCCCTTTGACTTCATTAATTTGTATCTGCCCAAACTGCAACTTCTGAGCTATCCATGCTCATAAACACTATAGCTTTCCCTGAATTTTGATTTCATTGTTCTACATCATTTGCTGGTCCATCTGATTTGGAGAAAACAAAGTATAAAATATGTATTTATTTACTACTACATCTTAGTTGTATTTTGATCAAAATATTTTGCTTATAGAATAAATATTGAACCTAACCCAATTGCTGCAGTACTCCATTCATTATCTTCTATGTTTTTTAACTTTTTACTAGTACAGTATGCTACCCTTTAAACAGTGTATTATATTTTCTCAATCGAGTGGCTCTACTGTTGTCCTGAAGCACAACTTCTAGGTTAACTATGCCCATCAGCCACTTGAGGCAGTTCAAGACACATTTTTGTTGGATGTCAAAGTGTTGGCCTCCTAAGAGCCCACATCATGCCAAACCTCTCAGCCATTTGCTTCCACCAGGAAGTAGTTGAAACACAGCAGTGATTGGACTTGTTTGTTGGGTCCACCTCTTTTGGATCAAAGACGTAGTAGGGCTAACCTTGCTTCCTGTGGCTTTTTTTCACAGTTTGACCTTCTCAGTGGTAGGTAAAGCCCAGCATAAGATGTCACTCAAGACCCAAGTGCAACAGTCCATTAGACTGCACAGCCTTTATTTGGCCTCCCTGTGCCAGATTTGTCATGTCTTCTTCAGAAGGCAGCAGTGCTCTTTCAGTGGCAAGATATGGGTGTATCTCAGTCACTGGTAGGTTTTCTCCCTCCTTCGTCCAGTCTCTCTGACAGTATGCCATTGTTCTTATTGCAGTGTTTGGGACAGATTTAGGGACCACAACTATTTCCTCAGGGTTTACATTTGCCTGTATTTTTAGTCAAGTCCTAAGTTCTTAATGTATTAAATAATGTTTTTCTTGCAGTCTGCTTTGAAAGTACTCCTAAGATTTTTGATACTGCCAGTTCTTAAAGACAGGGCTGGCTTAGGGTTTTTTGCCGCCCCAAGTGGCGAAGGGGGAAAAAAAAAAAAGCGCGATTGGTGGCACTTCGGCGGCAGCTCAATGGCGCCACTTCATTCCTCGGCGGCAATTCGGCGGTGGGTCCTTCGCTCTGAGAGGGACCGAGGGACCCGCTGCCGAATTGCCGCTGAAGACCCGGACGTGCCGCCTCTTCCCATTGGCCGCCCCAAGCACCTACTTCGTTCGCTGGTGCCTGGAGCCGGCCCTGCTTAAAGAGCCAGTGTTTGCTTGCCAAGAACTGCCTCTACTAGCTTATGGGTGTAGTTAACTTATTAATTATTCAGGGCTGTCAGAAGATCATTCCATCCATGAGAAGACAAATTTAAAGGTAGGACACAACTGATTTATTTTTTAGCATACTTGCTAATTGTAGCTCATACCTTACTATCATTTTTAAGCAGAACTTCCTATTGAAATCAATATGGAATTTTGCTTAAAAACCAGTGGCTTAATATAGCACCTTCTCATAGACTCATAGACTTTAAGGTCAGAAGGGACCAATATGGTCATCTAGTCTGACCCCCTGCATGATGCAGGCCACAATAGCTGACCCCCCCACTTTCCCTTAGCTCTGCTGTTGAAGTCTCCAGATCGTGATCTAAAGACTTCAAGTCGCAGAGAATCTTCCAGCTTGCGACCCCTGCCCTATGCTGCGGAGGAAGGCGAAAAACCTCCAGGGCCACTGCCAATCTACCCTGGAGGAAAATTCCTTCCCGACCCCAAATATGGCGATTCTATTTAATCTCTTATTATAAAGTATGGTAAAGCCCTACAAATTACAATTTAAAAATGCTAACAGGAACAAGATATAGATGAAAAAATAATAACGTTGTTTTGTTCCTCATTGATCTTGGGAGATGGAGAGTAAGAAGCCAAAAATGAAAACAGGATTTCCAGGGAGATTAGTAATCACCCAAGTGTGGTATCGTTAGATGATCTCTTGCTATGGGACTCTGTGGAGGCAATGTCATGAAGAAGAAAAAGGGGTTACTTACCAAGAGTAACTCTCGTACTCTAAATAAACTGCCTTCCACTCTTGCACTGTGCTTCAGAGCTCAACTCATAGCAAGACTTCTGAAGGGGAAGAGGAACTAGGGAGGGGATTCTTATACCTTCATTCTGTGCAGTATAAGTCTGGAGGGACATGCATGTGCTCTCTTACTGTCAGCTACTGTTTTAAAAGGTTCAGTGACTATGTGGATAGGCTCATGTGTCTTACAGTGTGTCTCTGTGGAGGCAATGCATTAAAAGAACCAGCATTACTGTCAGTGAGTAACCTCTTTATTCAGTCAATAAAATAAAGAAGAAACATGAAATTCAGCATTTTGGTCTATGTTTTGCAATCTGTATTCAGTTCTTAGGCAAATTAATTTCAGTAGGTTTGCATGAATGACTGTGGGATTTGGCTCATCTGTTATTAAGAATAAACATTTTGACAATGTGTACAAACTTTATAAAACAAGCTGTCCTCTCAATTTTTAGCTTTTTTCCTTCCTTCCCCCCTGTTTTCCAGGGATATAGTTCTCAAATTACTTCAGTATGAAGCATCAACTAATGTGGCAGATAACAAAGGTTATTTTCCTATACACTTGGCTGCTTGGAAAGGAGATGTAGATATTGTGAAGATTCTCATCCATCATGGGCCATCACACTCCAGAGTGAATGAACAGGTGAAGTGATTAAAAATCTTTGTTTATGTCATCAGAAAATAAAAGTAAGTATTGTTTAGGTTTGACAGAGTTATAGCCAGATTCAGCAAAATATGTCTGTTTTCCATGCAATTTAATGCTCTAGAAACTTATTTTGGGGTTGGTAAAGTCTTCCATGTTGCATGTGCAGAATATATTTTCTGCTGAATTGGGCATAGGCACTAAAGAAACTATATTTAAGGAAGATTGAGACATTGCTATTTGTTTCTAGAGTCCTTTTGAAGGCAAAACTTAAGCTTTCACAGTACAATCGAGTATAATAAGCAACATACTCACTTATAACGTATTCACTTCCCTAAAAACTTTTATGCAGTAAATTACAATAGTTTCCTATCTATTTGGAATGTAACATAAGACAAATTTATTGTGCATACATATACTACAAACAAATATGGTATGTGTATATATATGTGAGTAACAGGGGCTAAATGATCCATCCCTTCAGCTGCATGGCAAATGCTGGCAAAAAAGATATCATAGTAGGTAGGGGGCAGGATCTGTTCAACAGGCTGTTAACTGGTGATATAGCTGCTGCAAGACCCTCTGTGGCTGTTATGCATGTTTCATAATAGTTGCACTTGTGGGATTAGTGGCCAGACAGCAGACGATCCTTGAGCAGAAACCGTATCAACTGACCCCCAGGCTCAGGTATTTTCCTAATCCCACCAGAGCTGTAAATTAGTCTGTCTAATGGCACTACCTGGCCAGGAAACCTCTCAGTGCCTTACAGTATAACAGATTCTCTAGACTCCCAGCCTGCTCTGGAGATGGTTCCTGTTCCTGCCCCAGCCTTGCCTAGGCCCCATTCCAGCCTTGTCCATGGGCTGTTCTGATTGTGCTCCAGATCTGTTATACACCCGCTCCAGCTTGCATCTGCCTCCTCACCCCCAGACCCTTGGACTCTGACCATCCATCTTTGACTTTTGGCATGTATCTGGACTTCAGCTACAATACTCATTTGGCTTTGTCTACGGACTCTGATTTCAGTTTTGACCCCAGCCTGTGCATGGACCCTGGTGCCAGCACTGCCCTTATCCCAGTCCGGACCCCTATGTCTGGCTTCAATCTCTGCTCCATCCACAAGGCCTGACTACCTGGAACCAGCACCTGACAAGGACAAGACTAGTTGAGTTACAGGATTATCACACTGTCAATGTGATGCACTCTTCTGCAGTGTGAGTGCTGCTTCTATGAAAGAAAGAAGCAAGGCAATCTCTATGGCTAAACCTGGCCACCATCTTGAAGACTTCTCAGGCTTCCTTATAGTTCCTGGGTTCTTTGTCAGCACACTTTGAGAAGTAGAGCTGGTTGGAGAAGATGTTGATTTTTTTCATGAAAAAATTAGAAAGAAATGGAAAGTTTTCATTTCATTAGAAATTTTGTGTTTTTTTCATTTTTAAGAAAAACATTCAAAATGAACTACATGAAAATATTCATTTTGCTTCAAACTGAAAAATTGCATGTCTTTTTGTGGGGAGGGGGAGTTCCTTCCTTTTCTGAATGAAATAAAAATTGCATTTAATTTGTTATTAAATTTTTCATTACAAAAATCAAACCAAATGAAATTTTTTCATGACAAAAATTTTGACCAGCTGTACTCTAAATCTGCTTCCTGAAGTAATGATTTGCCAGGAGCTGCTGCCAGTGCACAAAGGAATAATGAACAGCTGCTGGCCTTACTGAGGCTCTGCACGTCCCTGCCAAAGGGCAAACCATCCCTGTTAGCCTGCACAAAGGCAAGAACTCACTTGCTAGAGAAGAGGCCCTCCCTGAAAGAACAGATGAGTCAAAAGATGAGGTAAGAGTTGTCAGCCCCTTTCAGTCTATGTCCCTGCCCCCAGCAGTCATTAGGTGAAGTAATAAATGCTTCATGAAGGCTTATGCTTTTTAAAAAATCTTTTTTCTATCCTCCAGAGAAAAATCCTAAGAGTCTGGCTAAGACCTTCCTTGGAAACTTCCGTAACTTTGTTCAGACAATTATTTGCCTCAGCCCCTAAGACTAAATTCATAAGTATAAGTGCTCAGGCTTTGGCACTCCCTAAGTCTTGTTGTTTTGTTGTGCCACCAGCCTCCCCAGTTTCCTCCTCAGGAAGGTGAGGTGTCAGATTGAGCCTGAGGTGCAGCCTGCTGATTTAGCAAGGAATCTCAAATGAAGACTGGGAAAATGGACTGAGGACTGTCTGAGCCTATGAGACTTGGAAGGCCAGAGGAGAAACTGGATTCTTCAGAGCCACCCTTTTCCTGGGGATGGAAAAGCAAGAAAAAGCTTGCCCTGTGCCTGAAATTTTATGTAGACAGCATTTACCTTCATGGATGACAAACAAGATTGTTCAGAAGATGTAACTGTCACAATGCCTGGAGTGGCTCACAGCTAAGAATGCCGAACTCAGGACTGACTGTCAGAAAATAGGGCAGACACCCCAAAGTGGTGGTATATTCTATCATTAGATTTCACCAAGCCAGTAACAAAAGTGTACTCCTGCATCACTATATTAGTTTTACCTTGGAGTCACAGACAGTCCCCTTAAGCATTCCAGCCCCCTTTTACCACCCAGACAAACTGGACTTTATTATGAAAGGTTATTAAAACCAAATTCACCACGCATTAGGTTACTTCCAGCCCCAGAGGGCCAGTCACTTACCCGCAGGTCAAGGTATACTTCAGATCTCACCAAAGACAATGCTGTAGCCAATCCTTAGTAACTAAACCATAGATTTATTAGCTAACAAAAAAGAGAGAGTTATTGAGAGGTTAACGCAGATAAAACTACATTACAGTGGAATCAGAGTTGTAGTCCAAATGATACAGAGATGTAGTGTCTGTTTGCTTTCCATAAGTTCCTCAAGGTTTCCCAAAATAATTTTGGGGTCCTCTATCCAATCACATAAGATTCCCCCGTCAGAACCCAAGCAGTCTAGAGATGAACAATCTCTCCCAGGATCTAGTATTTTATAGATCTTGCTAACAGCAAGACAAGCTGAAAACAGTTTGGCAGATGTTCCCAGCATAGCATGTGTCCATAGATTTCCCAGTGTGGGACACTCAATGACCTACTCTTTGACACTAACCTTCTACTTCCCATGCATATACATGTAATCCAGTTACACAGATTTACATAAGGTAATTGCCAGCCATTCATTATAACAGAGATAGATAAGTGAAAACAATACAGGTAATATTCATTAGTTTCATGCAGAGTATACACATCTTTGATCTTAAGGTTAATTAAGTACAGGATACAGACAGATGAAAACAATACAATCATCAATACATTTCCCTTGATTTCTTATCAACATCAGGGAATGGGTTTATGCCTACCAATTCATTTAACATCTCTTTGATATCCACTGACAAGTGAATGGGTACAATTAACACTTCTTTGGGGTTGTGACCTGGGCCGGCTAGCTATAAGCGCCACAGTAGCTCCCTCAGGAATTTACAGGTTATTTGACCTGTCAAGTGGATTTTATAGTCCTGCACTGGTCAAAGATAGATTATTTAATCTTGGATTCCAATGTCTCCTTCAAGGATTCCTTAGATAGAATGGTGGTGGAAGTTACCAGAAAGATTTTTTTTTATCAAAGTCCCATTCACTTCTTGGCTCCTAATGATTCTTCCTACGTATTCAGATCTTCAATCTACTGGTTGATCAAGCGGAATCTAGAATTTTGTGCCACTAACCCTAAAAATGATGGGAAATCTCTCAAAGATTTTGCTTGCAATTAATAGTTTAAATGAAATCAAACACCCTGCTCTCCTTCTGACAGCTAACACATTAAGCTCGTTCCTGATGGCATAGGTGGGGAGACCTTTCCTTCTGGAATCATGGTCCTCAAAGCATCCACTTTTGGGGTAAAATATTTACCCCACTCTTGGGGTAAATAAAAATATTTTATCCTCTCAGAAAACAAGGTTTCCCTCCCATGTTATAAAACTCAAACCTTCTGGATTTTACACTAAGGGTTACTACTTTTCCATCCCTGAACAAGTGACTTATCCAGTATTAATATCTTGTCCCTTAGTGCAGTAAATGACATGGTAGACGATGGGACAGTGAGCACTTCCCCTCTAGTGTCTAGTATTCTGAAACATTCACTTATTGAGACTCCCATTTGGTCCTTAGTTTCTCCCTCTTGTACTAGAGAAACTAGGTAAACCATCATTTTAAGCCATTCGGTGCAACAGACCAACATCTTTTTACCTTGGAAGTGGTGTTTCTAGTACCATTTAAATAAACATATTATGTGCATTATTATAGTGCCTCTGGACCCTGATCAGGATTTTGCTAGACACTAAGAAGACACAGTCCAGACCAAAAAACCTTACAATCTAATTAGAAACAACTTCAGCTATGAAGGCTGTGGAAACTGTGGCCTTATCTTGCCATCCACCATAGTTAACTTTTCACAGGGATAAGGTATTAGTTAGGACTTACTCCAGTTTTCTTCCCTCAGTTTTGTCCCCTTTTCATTTGATATTTCCTTCCCAAATTTCTGACTCTGTCTCCAGGTAAAGATAAAATGTGGCACAACTAAGATTTGAGAAGCAGCCTTAAGTTTTACTTAACCAGGAATGAATACTTCCATAGTGTGGACTGACTGTTTGATCTTTTATTAGCTGTCTAAAGAGGGAGAGAGGGTGTAAAGCTATGTCATAGCCAGCTGGAACAGATCCGATTTTCAAGAAGCCTGTGCAGCAGCTGAGACCCTGTGCCAGATCAGAATTTGGGCCCATTCCACTTGGGTTGTTGCCATCTCCTGCACAGAAAGAGGAGAAATGATAGTTGATGAGCTGTGCAAAGCAGCAACTGAGCATTCTCTTTCCATACCTTTACTAAGCACTAACAGCATTTTCTCACATCAGTCAGGCCTTGGCTACACTTGCAGATGTACAGTGCTGTGAGTTAAACCTGACTTCGTGCAGCTGAGTAGGGAAAGCGCTGCAGTCTGTCCACACTGAC